TCCTAGCTACTTCCTGCTGAAAAGGGACACTGTGGGTTATGAAAGACTATCTTATACATAAAAACATGAGTCTTCTAATTTTTCCACTCAAAGCATTAAATAACTAATAATTGGCAGAAGAAAAAGATAAATGTATCAAGTTATTTTTTTATTTTTGAGCCTGAGATACATAATAATTGAACTTTGTATTTCCTTTTATTCTGGCTGATTGGTTATTTTAAATTGATGTCTTCTGAATACATTGTCTTAAATCAGTCTGCTAATTTTTGTTGTTGTTTAATAAGACTGGATTTTAATTTCATGGTATGGAAAATTGAGTAAAAATTCAGATGGTTTAGATCTAATTTTAACTCTTTTAGTAAATGTATCACATAGAGATTGAGAGGGAGAATATGAGTGAAAGAATAAAAGAATGTATCTGCAAGGATATACAAAACAAAGTGGCAATGATGGTGAGAGCAGTTAAGGGAAAACATGAGAGATGAGATGACATGTAGAGTCTTCTTTCTTCCTAGCTATATGCTGCTTTTATTGTTTTAAACAATATTCTCTGTCTAAAAATGAAGGAGCTCTGTTGATATATGTAAAGCATTACACTTGCAACATAAAGCCAGTTTGAGTCAACCAGGAGCTCTGAGGAAGAAAGTATTTCCTCATGTGGTTGAATATTATCAATGATACTGCTTTCTTAATTTATTTTTTTCATGTTTTCTTTGATGCTATAGAAAAATCACACTGCTTTTTGTATATTGATCTTTTATCTTCCCACTCTGCTAAATTGGTACTAGATCTAACAGGTTTTTTGTTAAGTCTTTTGGGTTTTCTGTGTACACTATCATAGTGTCTTCATATAGCAACCATTTTGCTACCTCTTTACCAATTTGGATGTTTCTTATTTCCTTCTCCTGTCTTATTGACTTAGCAAGTACTTCCAGTATATTGAACATGAATGGTGATAGTGAGTATCCTTGTCTGGTCCCTGTTGGCAAGAGGAAAGCATTTAGTCTTTCTCCATTGAGAATGATGTTGGCTCTTGGGTTTGTGTACATGTTTTTTACTATGTTGAGGAAACTCAGGATTCTTTTCTGGCAATTGTTTTCTCTCAACCTTCTCTATATGCCATCCCATTGCTTTCTTGTTCATGTGACCTTTGCTGAGAAGTCAAACTTAACTTATTTGGTTCTTTGCAGGTTAACTCATTGTTTTTCATGTGCTTCTTTTAGTAATATATCTTTATCTTTTATTTAGAGAATTTCACTTTGATATATTTTGAGGTCTCATCTGTTTGGAGTTTACTGAGCTTCTTGAATGTGGATTTCCTTGTTTTTCATGATACCTGGAAAATTTTCTTTTAGTTTCTCTTCCAGAATTTTTCAATTCTTTTTCCTCACTGTACTGGAATTCTGATCACACATTTGTTTTTCTATTTGATTTTATCCCACATGATTCTAATGCTTTCTTTTCAAAAGAAAATTTCATTTCCTTTTCATCATCTTCTTCCTGTTTCTTATTCTATTACATATCCATTGAGGTTCATATCTTCTAGCTCACTGATTCTCTGTTTTGTCTCTTTCATTTTGCTTTTCCTCTAGCATGTTACAAAGTTCTACCATTTCGGTCTTGGTATTCTGTATTGTGTTTTCATGCATTTGTGGGGTTTCCAGTATTGTGTTGATTTTACCCTCTTTGTCCTGTGATGGTTTTAAAATTCTTGCGTATATTTATTTATGCTTTAATTTCTTTCTTCCATAATTTATAACTTCTTCAGTAGCAGTTGATGCAATTCACCATCAGTATACCTCTTCTGCCTCCCTATGTCTGGGGTATTCATTGGATCTGCAATCTGATCTGATCTTTTTAGGAAAATATTTGTTTTGTTTATTTTATAACATTTGAACTTGACTGCTGTTTCCTTGTCTTTATATGAAGTTCTTCCTAGTATGTGTGAGCCAGATTGCATTGTGTTTGTGTAGATTGTTGTCAGTTCCTTATCTTTACAATGATATTGATAAGTTATAGATTTTAAATGTTGTTCCCAATTCAGATTCCCAGTGGCAGTCTTCCACTTTGGTCATCAGTAGGCAGCTCTGTTCCCTGATTTCGGTGTCAAGCTTCTCATCTAGTTGTCCTTTCGTGGACAGGGAGCTGGTGTTTCTACCTTTGTCCAGCTGTAGTGGACTATTTTCTCTTTCCTGTCTGATAGTCTGATAGTCTGATAGGAGGGGGAGGTTTCTCCCAGGTGTAGGAAAAGTCTCAAGAGTGCTCACTGGGATATTTTGCTCAGGGTAAAGTTCCAGCCAGTTGGCAAGGTCCAAATAGTGCAGAACCCAACTTTTAGTCAATGCTGATGTTCCATATGCATACCTGTCTCCTTTCCCATGGCTGATTGGGAGGGAGTTGATCCTGCGAGCTGTTAAAATCTCAGCATTTCAATCCCCATGTCTCAATGGGTGCTAATGTCTTCTTTCCTGAAACTGGTTTGGAACAATACTATTGGTTCTTAATTATATGCTGACACCTGAGATGGTTGAGCATCTAATGACCATTTTTTTTTTAGAATTCTTCCATATTGTAACTCAAGGCTTGAATTTTTCCTATAGTACTTTTATTAGGTGTATTTTTCTCTTTGGATTTTCTAATTCTGGTTTTTTACACAACTTGTGCAATATTTTACTTTTTTGCCTACTCAGATGCCCTTTCACATCTTCTATTCAGTTTTCTGATTTAATTTATTTGACTTTTTTTATGGTCAGGAGCAATCCTTGAAGTCTCTATTAACATACTTATACTTTGCTTTTTATTTCTGTCTTTTAAATTAATGTTGCTTTCATTGTGTGTGATCTCCTTGATGTCAGCTCATACTTTTTGTAGTTTTCATTCATCATTCTCAGTGTGTCATATACAGATCAGATACACTCATGATCTTATTTGCAGTTTTAATTGTCTTGTAGCTCTTACTATTTGACCCATATTACTTTGGGACCTTAGAAGATTAAAAATTATTTAACAAGATATGATCACAATTGAAGCATAGAATTTAAAAATATAATTTACTTGCTAATGAGTGTCAGAATTTCTTAGAATCATCACAGTACAACTGATGTCATAGAAGATCTTGCAGTTGTCAATGGAAGTGAGTTACAGTCCAAAGTATATATTTTAAAAAATATGTGTGACAAAAAAGCCCATTCTTGTGGGCAAAGTGAATAGTTTCTACTGAAGGGTAATCAGTTTCTGATGGAAATTAGGTGTCTTTTAAAAGGAAATCATTATTTGTTCCTATCCCCCACCTTAGGATGATACCCCTGAGTTGGAGGAAGGCTTTATTGTCAATATCACCGATGTGCAACTGGTGAACTCTGACTTCTCAGTGGGAAAGCCAAGTGTGTGCAGACCTGGCATGGAAATAGCTGAAATAGTGATCGAAGAAAATGATGATCCCAGAGGAATCTTTAGGTTTCATGTTACCAAAGTGAGATGAACTTTCATATATTTACAGTAATACCAAAGTGTTTTTTCTGCTGATGTGACAAGTGGTGTATATTTCTGGTAATCAGTAATTTTCATTAAGTTTAAATTTCAAGTGATTAAAGCAGATGTTCATATTTATATCCAAGCATAATTTCTGCTTTGAAAGGTGACTTATAAGTAATATAATTGGAAATAGTAACTTTATAAAGTGATGGCTCAAAAAGACATCACTTTTGTTTTGACTTTAAACTTATTCTTTTCTTAAAGGAAACTGGTCATGTTATTATTGCTTATGAGGTGCCCCCGCCTTTGAATGTTCTTCAAGTTCCTGTGGTCCGGCTGGCTGGAAGCTTTGGAGCAACAACTGTTTATTGGGAAGCAACACTGGACAGTGCTGGCCAGGAAGACTTTAAACCATCTTATGGAATTCTTGAATTTTCAGATGGACAAGTATGGTATTCTTAGAAACATACGAATTTTATGGTTCTAGTCAAACATTTTATAGGAATCTAACAATAAATGTGCATTAATTGTTGCTAAATGTGTTATAAATGCAGATAATATACAAATGCATAAATATTCTATTTCACACCCAACATAAATACTAATTATGAAGAAATAATTTAAAAACATAGGAAGATAGCATTTAAAAAACCTAGAATCTCACCTTTTTCTTGAGCTTCTCTCCTTGATTAATGATAATTGGTGATTGGAATGTAAACAACAAAGTTGGAAACAATGAAGGAGAAACAGCCAAAAGGATGGACTTAGTGACAGAAAATAAGTTGGAGACAGAATGATTGAATTTTGTGTGCTTAATAATTTATTCACAGAAAATGCTTTTATATAAAACATAGACTTTGCACTTGGATCTCACCTGATGGACTGCATAGGAGTCAGAATGACTATATCTGTGGAAGAAATTATTGGAGAAGCACAATATCAGCAGCCAAAACCAGACCTGGTGCAGATTTTGTAACAGACCATGAATTACTTATGTGCAAGTTTAAGTTGGAATTGAAGAAAATGAAAATTAGTCCACAGGAATCAAATAAGATTTTGAGTCTATCCCACTTGAATTTAAGAATCAACTTAAGAACGGGTGTGAGGCATTAAACACCAGTGATCAAAGATCAGAGCAACTGTGGGAGGACATTGAAGATATCATCCCTGAAGAGAGCAAAAGGTCTTTACAAAGATGGAGGAGAAAGAAAGAACCAAAAGGGATGTCAGAAGAGACCATGAAAACTGTATTAGAGTGTCAAAAAAACAAAGCAAAAGGAAGAGATGTTGAAGTAAAAGAGCTGAACAAAAGATTTCAGAGGGCAGCCTGAGAAGATAAGGCAAAATATTGTAAAGAAATGTCAGAGAGCTGGAGACAGAGAAGAAGAAGGAAAGAACTTGTTTGGCATTTCTCAAACTGAAAGAACATAGATAGGGAACTGACAGAATTTCAAGCAATATTTAGAAGAGGCTCTAGCACGAGGGATATCATTGCTGATGTCAGATGGATCCTGGCTGAAAGTAAAGAATACCAGAAGAATGTCTATTTCTGTTTATTGATTATGCAAAAGCTTTTGATGTATGGATCATAATACATTATGACTATCATTGAGAAGATTGAGAATCCCAGAACACTTAATTGTGCTCATTTACAGCCTGTATCTAGAACAAGAGGCTACTGTGTGAATAGAACACTACATGGTTTAAAATCAATAAAGAAGTGCGTCAGGGTTATATAATTTTCCTATACCTGTTCAATCTGTGTGCAGAACAAATAATTTGAGAATCTGCATCCTGTAAGGAAGAATGTGGCATTGAGATCGGAGGAAGACCCATCATCAATAGTCTTCTTTATGCAGATGATACAATCTTCCTTGCTAAAAGTGAGGAGAACTTGAACCACTTGCTGCAAAAGATCAAGAACTACAGCCTGCAGTATGGATTGCATCTCAACATCAAAAAAATAAAGGTCCTCACCCCAGGACCTATAGTCAACATTATGATGGATGGAGAAAGGATTGAAGTTATCAATGATTCCATCCCCTGTGGATCAACAACCAACATCCTTGGTACCACCAGTAAGGACATCAGGAGACATATTTCTTTGGGCAAGTCCACTCTCAGGGACCTTTCTAGAGTGCTGAAATGATGCCAGTTTGAAGACTTAAGAGGCTAAGGTGCACCTAATTCAGACCATGGTCTTAGTCATCTGCTATGCATCAGAGAGCTGGACAATGAATAAGGATAACAGCAGAGGAATTGATGCCTTTGAATTGGGGTACTGTAGAAGAGTACTGAATATCCCATGGACAGCCAAGAGAACAAACAGCTATGTCCTTGGAGGCAAGGATGGTGAAGTTTTGTCTTTGATACTTTGAACATGTAGTTAGGGAAGGCTATTGGAGAAGGATTTCAAGTTTGGAAAGATGGGGGGGGGGAGTCATCAAGGGAAGGAAATCCCTCAATGAGATGGGCTGGCATAGTGACTTCAGCAATAGACTTGAGGGTTTTTGAGATGGTGTAGATAGTACAGGATACAGTAGGATTCAGGTTGGCTATTCATAGCATCACTGTGAGGTGTACTTGATTTGGCAGCAGCAGCACCACCACCACCACCACCAATCTGTGTGCTAGGTCGTAATCCCATTATTTAAAAGTATTTTTATGGTCATATTCATATCTTCTAGGAGTAGTTTTATAGTCTACAACACAGATTTGAGTTGGACATTCTTTAAAAAGCTCTCATTTAGCATTGATTTGTTTAAGTTTCTGCCCTTCTGAGTGTGACATGCAGATTTCTCACATTTGCCCACAGTTACATTAAAGGTTTTCAGGTGGATTAGGTGGAAAACCTTAATTTTCTGCTGAATATTGGTGTGAAAGTAGTAGAATTTCCCTTTAGGATGCAAAAATATATTTATATATGGAGATGTTGTTGTTATGTGCCATCGAGTCGTTTCCGACTCATAGCGACCCTATGCACAACAGCCCTAAACCCTGCTCTATCCTGCGCCAACCAACCGTACTGCTTCTGACACACCCATCCCGATTACCCCAGTCACTGAATCAATCCATCTCATAGAGGGTCTTCCCCTCCTGCGCTGTCCCTCCCAA